TGTACATCTGAAACTAATATAACATTGTATGCCAACTATTCTTCTATAATAAAAAGTAATAAAAAATAAATAAATACCATTGCAAAAAAAGTAGGTACTCGATAAGTAATAAAAGAACAACAACAACAAAAAAGCAAATATACAGCAAAGGGAATTATAGCATGCTTGTATAATCAAATATTATGCTGCTATTTAAAATCATACTTAAATACTTGCAAGTGATATGGGAAAAATGCCTCTGTGTTCTGTGAAACATATACATATCTCAATTATGATGGAAAAAATTTGGCAGGAGATATTCAAAATGTTAAAGTTTTTTTCTTCAGGGTGGAATCAGAGGTATTTTTACTTTTTCCCTCCATTTTTAAATACTTAACCAAACTTTTGACAGTTAGCATATATTATTTTTATAATTAGAAAACAATGAATGGCATTTTGAAGTCTATTCCATTAATATTGAATAAATTGAAGGGAACTCCCCCCCACCCCCCATGGTTGCTTGGAAACTTGGCTTGAGGTTGCCATTTCTGTCTCTAGGTACTCTGCAAAGTGGAACATACAATGGGCAGTTTTATTATCACTTAAGGCAAGCTCGGCCTGGGGAGTCTCTTCCATCAGTGGCCAATGTCAGACACTCACCCTTTTTCATTCTTGTACCTCCTGGTCTGGGGTGGGAGGGGGGATGTATTTCTTTACTTAGTAGACAAAAAGGACATTTATTAAACTATTTTTCCTGGGCCTTTCTTTTTTTCCGTTTTGTGATATTAGTAATTTGAGACCCTTGTACTGTGAAAGCCTAACACTAGGATCCCTAAGTTAGAAACGGCTTAACATTCCTATTACCCATCTTATTCTACCAATTGTCACAATCCATATACAAAGCTCTTCATTCACACATTAAAAACTTTGGGTCTTTGAATTATTGTACTGGACCCAACCAGATTCTGTGAATCATTCAGGGCAATCGGAAATACCCACAGTTATCATTTTGGGGTGAGAGAGTGAATTACCTGACACTGGGCAGAACACATTTCTTCCTAAGTTTAGAGAACAATTTCAACCTTCTTTACTCCTTTGAAGCCTTCATAATGGAGTTGTATTTAACACTTTAAGCGCCATTAAGTACCCTAAAGCAAAGTTCACTGATTTATTCTACATAATTTGGTGAACTTGGCTTTTAAGGAATTCAGGGACTTTGTACCAAGTTTAGTTTTAAGTAGAAATAACAGTCCTTTGAACATGGTGACAACATGGACATATGCAGATACTTTAAAGAAATACATTGTTCAAAATCTATTTTAGCAATTTGCAGTGCTCTAGTGATAAAGACTAAATAATTTCTAAAAATTTTATTGTGAAGTATCTGCTGCTTCTTATCTTTTTCCTCCCTTTTAACCAAAGGCAAAATAAGATACACTGTTGATTTATCAATATGAATTATCTGTATAATTTGGTTCTTCTTCTGTGAATCTCTTGATCAGAATCCCCTGGTCCTGAGAGCCCTTTTTATGATTGTCTTACCTCATAAAATTCAAAATTTGACAGCCAAGATTAAGTTTAAGCCCAGGCTGGGAATCAGAAAAGCCAGAAACTTATTCCTAAATTTCTAAGAACTCCTGGGTGAATTTCAGTGGGTGGGCCCGCGTGGGGGAGGCGGAGAGCAGAATGGCCAAGGGCCAAGCTGATGTGGGCTCGAATCCTGGCTCCGCCCCATAATACTTGTGTGATCTTGGACAAGTGACTTCACTTGCCTAAACCTCTCAGTCTTTCCTCACTTCAATCTGTAAAAATAGAGATAAAATGATAATTCTAGATATTATCATAAAGTGTACCTTGCACCTACAGGGTTCTACAAACATTATTTTAGTTTCTGCAATAATGGATTGATTCTCATTGTTCCCTATGGTGCTTTTGTTTAATATTAAAAAGCAGGTTATTCTATGCCATATAGCTTTTCTCCCCCATGTAGGACTCAACCCTCCCTCGTCCCCCCAAATTACTCCCACTGCCAAAATTTAAAATGTGATAATAGGTTTTGTTAGTCTTGTTAGAATAACAAGATAATATTTGGGTTTCCTCCCTGACTGAGTCATAAAATCATAGGGAAATCTATATACAACTGAATGTTCATATATCAGGAGGCTCTGGATGAATCATTGCAGGCTTCTTCCTAGCCCCTCCCCACATGCACTGACAGCTCTGAGATAATTTATGAATATGTAATTCTTTTACACAATCACATATGTGCTGTTTATTCAAATTTCAATGGAATCCTGTATATAGCTGGATTTCCATTTTAAAAGTTCTATCCACATTTTGTACAGAAACAGCAAACTGAGACGTTTATAACCATAAAAAAAACCCTCATCTTTTACTATCTTTTGTTCTTGACAAGTCAGAGACTTAAAAGCTAATGAGATGTTTTATTTTTTAATTTTGCATTTTGCATTTCTTGATCATCTCCAGGGCATGGGACCCAAGGGCTGCTTTGACCTTTGACCTCTGTCCTCCTTTGTTACCCCTCTACTTTAAGATGAGTAAATTATTGAAATATGCAGGATTGTTCACTCAAGGCACGGTGTAATACACCTGCCCATTCTGAAAGAATGGTAGAGATCTACACATGTCCATCTGTCTAAAACATGATTAAAAACCCCTGTCAAGAGCAGAATATTTTCTGAAGTCTAAAGTAGACCTACTTTTGCAAATAGGTTCATTTTCCTCCTCTCTGCTGTGTTTTAAGGCAGTTGGGGGAAAATGCACTTCTATTCTTACCCACATGTGACCAGGTCACTCTTCAACTCCTACTGTAATTCTTTTCCTTCAGTTTAAGGAAATGTAAGTTCTGTCCCTCTACCCTTGTACTATTTTGCAAAAACAATTATCTGATACCAGATGGCAAAAGAAGGTTCTGGAAACCTATCAATTCCTTCCCCACTCCTTCCCCCCTAACTGACAAACTATCTCTACCACCAGGCAGCCTATAACCTCATAAACACACCGGCACTTAAGGGATAAGGGCCTCAAACAACACTTGTTGATAAAACTTCTGTGCAAAGAGACAACTCTTCTAGTACTTTGCTTACGTCAGCTATGATAATTAGCAATGTTAAAAGGTTAGCAATGTCTCAAGGATGCGTTTGCATTATTAGACCCACTAGGATAAACCAAATGTATAAACCAAATGTTTCTTATGTCTAGCCTCCCTTTTGTGACCTCAGGAGTTCCTTTCACTTACACTAAAATCAAATCCTTAGTTATGTCTGCCTGGTATTATATCAAGGCAAATGTGAGGCAATACTATGGTACGTTTCAGGTCGTTTAATTACGACAAAGAATACTCTCACCTTCACCAGTTATCCCATATAATTTTCTTTCTCTCTTTCTCTCCCTCTCTCGCTCTCGCGTACGCGCTCTCTCTCTCTCCCCCCCCCCCCACACACAGACACTACAACAGTTCAGGGGTAAGGGATCAGGTGAGCAGCCGCGGGCTTTCTGATAACCTTTGGGGTAGCTCCAAGAAAATAAGCCTTAAAATAGTAAAAGGGGCAGGTGAACATACAGCACTTGACTCATCTAATATGTGCAGGGCAGTGTAGTAAATTCAGATCCCAGAACCTTTCCACGGATTATAGGAAACACCTCAAGTCACCAGTGAATTAGGAAAGAAGGGAAGGTGGGCGGGAAGGAGGCGGAGCAGCAGAGACGCCCTTCAGGGACCCTAGTGATCAAAGTGGCAACAGAAAAAATATAATAGTTCACCAAAGGAAATTAGTTGGCTTACCAGACAAAGGTCTCTAGAGACTACACTATCTTGTGAACACTTCTTGGCAAGACAATTTGAAGTAAAAAGCAGCTTACAATGTGGGCTAAGCATTAGTGAGCTTACAGACTTGCATCAATCGAAAGTTCTGAGTACAGAGAGACAAATCCAAGCAGATATTCATCAAACAGAGCAAACAAAGCCCCTTCTGAAAGTGGGTTTTTAAAAACTAAAAGTGCACAACTATATAGGTGCATTTTCTATACAAAAATCCTATGAAGTCGCTCGACTTAAAGGCCAAGAAGTAAGGTACTACAGTACCAGGAGTGAGGCTCATCACACGCCGCGGCTGGTTCCCACACCTGCCCGTCAAGGTGGCAGGCCACTGCCCCCCACCCCCAGCCCCTCCCTGGCCTTCAAATGCAGCTGCATCCCGCTGGAGACTCTGCGAAAACGGTTCCCACAGGCAAAGTGCAGAGTACCAGTGCCCCGCTGCTGGAGAGTCTGCAGCTCTGGGGATTTGCAATGACGCCACATGGAAAGAAATGGGGGAAAACGTGAAAAAGAAACAGACGAGAAGGCAACAAACAAAAATGTGCTCCCCTTCTTTAGTGGACCAAAAGAAAAAAAAAGAGAGAGAGAGACCCCAAACTAGAGATGGCCAACGGTTGGCTTATCAGGACACATTTGGGCACCCGTAATTCATACCTGGGCAGAAAAAAAAAAAAGAAAATTAGAAGTACCTGGAAAATCAACTTGGACACATTCTAATACAAAATCTCCCCATCATCGCCATCACCATCACCACCAACACCGGATAAATAGAAACCAAGCACTTGAGCTATTAGCAACTACATTTTACTTACAGATCTGAGGTTTACATAATAACAAATTACATAATACTCCTGCTGTGCACTAAAAACCCTTCTATAGGTGAAGCTTTAAACCCTCTGGTCTTTCAACATTTTCCAGAGAGAGCTGGAAAAGTCTGCTGAATAATTGGGGGGAGGGGGAAATGGAGTGCTGGAAAAGTCATCCTTGACAAGCTGCAAGCCCAACCAAATGTTCCAGGATAAAAAGGGACTCGGAGCAGGTGACTCCCCGCTGCTCTCATCCCCTGGCGCCCGGGTGTCTAAGGCCAAGGCAGAGAGAGCCGGGCGCGGGGCGCAGGGCGCGGGGTTCAGGGCGGAACTGCCCGGGCCGGGCGGGGGACGCGGGGGGCGCGGCCGGGGCTTACCTGCTCCCCGAAGTCGATGGCTATGTTGGTGATGCCCAGGGGCACCAGGAACCGGATCAGGGGCCAGTAGTGCGTGAGCGCCGGGAATTTCACCATAGTCCCCGCCGTGGGCTGACCCCACACACATCTGCCGCCGCGAGGGGACTCTGCCGGGAGGCGCGGGGCGAGTGGGCCGAGCGGGGGCGCGGGCGGACCGCAGCCGGGTCCGGC